TTCTTTTTCTCTTCTCAATTTCATGGGCAACTTCAGCCTATGCTAGTGCTGATTTTCTTCAATGTCTTTACAATAAGTTTCAAAACTCCTCCACAATGTCCCAGGTGATTTACACACCCACAAACCCTTCATATTTATCTGTCTTGGATTTTTCCGCACAAAACTCTAGATTTACTACACTTGGCACCCCACGACCCTTTGTCATAATCACACCGTTAAACGAGTCTCATGTTCAAGAAACTATATATTGTTCTCGAAAACATGATATACAAATAAGAATTCGAAGTGCAGGACATGATTATGAGGGCCTCTCTTATGTTTCTGAACTGCCATTTGCCATCCTTGATCTAATAAATATGCGATCTGTCTCTGTCAATGTTGAAGACAACACGGCTTGGGTTCAAGTTGGCGCAACTCTTGGTGAACTTTATTATAGTATTGCAAATAAGAGTGCAACACTTGCCTTTCCAGGAGGTGTTTGTCCTAGCGTTGGTGCTGGTGGACATGTCAGTGGTGGAGGCTACGGTTGGTTGATGCGTAAGTATGGTCTTGCAGCTGATCAAGTCATTGATGCTCGATTAATTGATGTCAATGGTAGAATTCTTGATAGAAAGTCAATGGGTGAAGACCTCTTTTGGGCTATTAGGGGAGGGGGAAGTGCCAGCTTTGGGGTCATTTTGGCATGGAAAGTAAATTTAGTTAGTGTTCCCGAAACTATTACTGTTTTTACAGTAGTCAGAACTTTGGAACAGAATGCAACCAAGCTTGTTCATCGATGGCAACAGATTGCAGACAAACTTGATGAAAATCTTGCCATCAGAGTCTTCTTAACAAGTGTGAATTCTAGTGAAGAAGGAAACAGAACAATACAAGCTATGTTCCGTTCATTGTTCCTTGGTGGAGTTGATAACTTATTACCATTAGTGCAAGAAGTCTTTCCTGAGTTGGGTGTGGTGAAAGAAGATTGTACTGAAATGAGTTGGATTCAATCCGCACTATATTTTTACGATGGAGGACCGATTGACAGTTTGTTGAATAGGACTTTTGCATATAGAACAAATATTAAAATAAAATCAGATTATGTGAAGGAGCCCATTTCTGAAAGTGGGTTGGAAGGAATATGGAAACTGTTTCATGAAGAAGAGGTTACTGTGCCATTAATGGCATTTACTGCTTATGGCGGGAGGATGAGCGAGATCTCGGAATCTGAAACACCTTTTCCTCATAGGGCTGGAAACATATACCACATTGAGTACCAAGTGGGGTGGCAAGAAGAAGGGACAGCAGCTTTGGAGAGGCATATCAGTTGGATTCGAAAGCTTTACGAATATATGGCTCCTTATGTTTCCCAGAATCCAAGAGAAGCATATATTAATTATAGGGATCTTGATATAGGAGTTAACAACGAAGGCAATACAAGCTACACACAGGCAAGTGTTTGGGGTACTAAATATTATAAGAACAACTTCAAAAGATTGGTATCCGTAAAGACCTTGGTTGATCCCCACAATTTTTTCAGGAATGAACAAAGCATCCCACCTCTGCTACCACGGTGGATGAAGAGAAGTGTTCAGCATCTTCCAGTAGGAAAAAACTATCAGTAAAAAGGTTCCATGATCATTAGTGTGACTCTGTTTACCTATCATATTGTGAACTGAGGATCTTCAGTCCATAGACAAAAAAAATAATAAGCATTCCAGACCTCCTTCACATAGAGGGCATGAAACTTCGCAATTTTCATTTCCTTCTTGTGTATATGGAGTGGAGCCATTGGCCTTATTTCTGTAATAAAATCCAAGTCAGTAGGCAGACTTGGCTATTCCAAAAAAACTGTTGATTTAATCTAAGTCTATTGAAATCTAAATCTATCTAAAAAATTTGATGCTGAAACGAATTCGTTTATTGACTGAATCGAATTTGTTTATCGGCCGGCAGGGGTGGAGCCACATTAGGACTATTGACCCCCCTCAATTTTGGATCTTCTTCATTTATGCCATATTTTTTTTAATCATAATTTTTCTTAATTTATTACATTTGTCCCCTTTTAGTTTTAAAAAAAATGCATATTTAGTCCTAATTTTTATTCAAATTTTGTTTAGACTAGATGAAAACTAGTTTGGTTGTTTAATATATTAATTTAGCCTTGAATTTTAATATATTTTTTCGTGTTTGAACTTTTTTTTTTTGGGTGTGCGTTAGATGGTGAATTTTTTTGTAGTTACATTTTGGCCCCTCCCTTAGACAAATTCCTGGCTCTACCCCTATCGGCCGGATATCAAAAATTCTAATTCATATATGAATTTATTAGAAATTGAATATCCAATTCGATAATGCGACCCAATATGAATTAGTTAATTGGAACAAAAATTTCGCAAACTAATCAAACAATTTCATCAATATACAGATGAATTTTCTTTTAATTTCATCAACCAATCACTTAGTTTAAATATATTTGGCTCAATTTCATCTCAATTTATAAATAATCCAACTCCAACTAATATAAAAATGAGAAAAAAAAATACAGATTCTTCTAATTCTAGCAGTTCCACCCTCATCCGCTCAACCACACATCTCCCCATTGCTTCTCCCACAATAAGAACTGAAATCTCAAATCTCAAATCTCAAACAATGCCAAAGCGACCCTCTTGGAATTCCAAAATAGAGGTTGTGCAATATGAGATTTGACATTAATCTAACATTAGTTGAGGATGAAATTCTACTTGGGCCTATATATGCTAACTTATCTCTACGAGTTGGGCCCCCAAGGGTTACTACACTTTGATAAGTAGAACGAACACCCACATGCCTTCGGTTTGACTACACATGCGCATCGCCCGCATGCCACGACCACGACTGTGCCGGGCTCGGGTTTAGGTGTGGTTTAGACCTATCCTTATCTTTTTGGATAAAATTTGTTTAATGAATTGGANCTACATGCCTTCGGTTTGACTACACATGCGCATCGCCCGCATGCCACGACCACGACTGTGCCAGGCTCGGGTTTGGGTGTGGTTTAGACCTATCCTTATCTTTTTGGATAAAATTTGTTTAATGAATTGGACTTGAATTTCTTTGTTCGAAATTTAATTTCTGCTTTTTGTTGGATTTAAAATTCACACTGATTCGAATTTTTGTTTTCCTCTAGTTCCGAATTTTGAGTCTGTTTCCGAATTCTGAATTTTTGTTTCTGTTTGTTATTCAATGGTTTCTTCTAGTCTACATGTGTCTTATGGGTTGCGTTTGTTAGCATGATGGCTATCCAGAACAGTCACTAGTTTGTCTTTAAATAACCCAGACTTGTTACCATTCTGCATAAGTTACATTACGAATAAAGGTAATCATTAGCATTCAAAATTTTGGCATTAAGCACCTTGTATATTTGAGAGTACACAACACAATTTCTGATTTGCTGGATAATTGAATTAAAGTGCTACTTTTAATTGCGTGAAAATAATGTATCTTAAAAGACAGATGCTTTGATTTTTATAAGCACCAAGTGTGGGGGTGAATCTATCTTAAGGATATAGTGTCAAACATTAGCATTAATTTACATAAATTTCAATAACAATTCCTGATCTACAAATAAATCAGTTTATATATTTTTTAATTATAGATTTATGTGTTACTGCTTTGTTCTTACTTGTTACTATTTTATTCTAATTTGCATGATACAAATAAGATATTTTAATAAGTAATTTTGCTATATTGGGAAACCACAAACAACATATATTAGATCCAAAAATTAGTTCTTCAAATTAGGTTCCAATAGTATTTCTCTTTTAACAACAGTAGACTAAAATAATTACCTAATAATAAATTAAAAAAAGATGATCCAATACACTGACTCTCGCCGCTGTAAAGTTTGGATAAGTTTAGATTACACAATATTAACCTGCATATGAGAGGATAGTATTCCACCTGTACACTTGCCACCCATATCACAATTGAGGAATCTTACATTTACAATTGTTTCGAGTATTTTCTATATTTTAAGATTCAATATATCCAAATTAACGATAGTAAGAGAGGGAGAGTGAAAAATATAGGGAATGAAACAAAGAACTCTAAAATAATTTCTTGGACACATGGTGATCGGCCCTACAAACTACAAATTTAGAGTTAAAAAATTTAATCCAAATATATATGGATCATTATTAAATAGATCAAGTGTATGAGAGCTTTTTGAGGGGACAAATTTAAAATTTATTAAAACCTCTATCCAAATCATTAGAAGACTTTAATGTTATTTGATGATGCATAAAAGTGTTTATGCAAAATCAATCAATGGATGAAGTAAGGGCTTAACACATGCAAGCACAAAGATTGGGTGGATTCGATATAGGTGACCTACTTGGTTGGGAAAGGCTATGGTGGCCGAAAAATCTTATTGCTCAAGAGTGTAGTGTTTANGAAGGGCTTAACACATGCAAGCACAAAGATTGGGTGGATTCGATATAGGTGACCTACTCGGTTGGGAAAGGCTATGGTGGCCGAAAAATCTTATTGCTCAAGAGTGTAGTGTTTAAGTGTTTGTGATGCCCTCCATGTGTAGGCAAAACTTACAATTTACATGTAAGTGAAGTTGGCCCCAAAGGGCTCTAATGGAGGCAGCATCCTCGTAACAAGGAGTATGGTGATTCCGTGAAAATCGCCCTATCCTCGTAACGGGCGAGGTGATAGCAGGGTGATTTATTGAAACTCGCCCTTGCGAGACTGTCGATGTGTCCTTGATAATTGCATCCTTATGGATTCCCTCTAGGATGAAGACTCCCACATGCGTTGGTGACAGACTGGGTTTCTCAGGAATGTGGGCTTTGGCTCAATTGAAATTCTAACTTGGCTTTTGTTGGTTAGCATCCGTGGTCTAGACCTAGTATGCAATTATGGGACTGATATGTAATTCTAGACTTGATTTGGGCTGGGCCCATTATTTATCCCCATGCCCAGAGTCCAATGGAACTTGGGGATAGGGCATCAGTAAAAATTCATGGGTATTTTTTTTAGTAGGCCGAGTATGGGCGAGAGAGCGCAAAAGTTGAGGAGAAAACGACGCTGGGTCTCCTAGGCACTAGCGACAGTGAGGTGCAGCAATAGGCGCAAACATTGGTGTGTGGGTGAGGCTTGGGTGTTGGTGTGCAGGCGAGACTTGGGCGTTGGTGTGCAGGCGAGGCTTGGGCGTTGGTGCTAGGGTGTGTGGACGAGGACAAAGATGCAAAAGGGAGAGGGATAGGGCGAGGGCGTGCTGGCAAGGGAGCACGTGCTAGGGCGTTGGTGTTGGGTGCGGCTGTTGGCGTTGGGCGTTGTGGCTGTTGGGTGCCTGGGTGTCTGGCTGTGGCTGCTGAAAAATCAACTAAAACTTTGTTGTTTTTGTTCTCCTCAGAATTCATAAAATCACGTATAATTATTTTCAAGTTTCTTATGTTGACAACCTTCAAGAGGCTCCCTAACATCACCATAAGTATATTCAATCTCCTCACTAGGTTCATTATTTTCTACTTTAATTTTCTAATCCAACAAAGTATTTTAAAACTCCTCACGAAATATATTTTGATATGAGACTGGAATCATAGAAGAACCATTATAACCTAAAAAAGTTTGTCTCATAGATTCGTCCTCATCATAATATGAAGGTGTAAATCTTTCTTTTAACAAGCGTCTCATCTTTTGCCAAGAACAAACATTAGATTTCTGTTAACTTGTACGTGATAATTTTACATGCACTGATAAGCCATGCCCTTCAATNTTGCCAAGAACAAACATTAGATTTCTGTTAACTTGTACGTGATAATTTTACATGCACTGATAAGCCATGCCCTTCAATTTGTATGCCACTAAACTTACTTTTATCTCTTCAGTAATTTCATGATAATCAAAGAATTCTTCAACTTTGGCCAACCAATTTAAAAAGTCTTCTTTATGAACATAATCATCAAAACTTGGTAACTTTCATAAATAAATCTCTAGAATCAAAATCATGTCTTCGATGATATCTAGCATTATCATAGCTATCAAACATACATGTACCATACTCATCATCATCAACAGAAGCAGAATCATATATATGTTATCATTTATGGAGAATACGATGGAGATCTCAAATAGTTCGAACACGAGCTCTATCATTGTTGCAAACCCTATTCTAATTTGGATCCTGGTTCGTTCCAAACGTCAATTGAGCAATTGGATCATGGAACTCTTGATAGGCTTGCTGGGACGAACGTCGAGAACTAAAAAAGTTGACTCATGAAAGAGCCCTTTCCACGTAATCACAGTTACGAGGAAAGTTATCACCACTTNGGGACGAACATTGAGAACTAAAAAAATTGGCTCATGGAAAAGCCCTTTCCACATAATCATACTTCTGGGAAAATTTATCACCACCTCGCTGATTAGAAATAATGTCAGGTCAATCAAGGCTCTAATACCAATTGACGCAACAAAACAAAAAAATACGAAAAACATTATGATTCTAAGTGTGTAGGACAAAGGTACTCTGAATCCACCAAAACACTTTGAAAAATGTATCTTATTTAATAAAACTGCATAGACTCAAAATACATATGACAATTTACAGGAAAAACTAAAATCCTATGTTTTTTAGAATGGAAACAAATCCTAACCTTAGAAAAATTTCTAAAAACAAATACACATGCCTACTTAATTAAGAAAATTAACAGGATTTAGGCAACACATAACTCTAGAATATTTATAATTAAAATTTCACCCTAACAAAATAATAAAAAATATAAGACAAAAATAAAATATGAAAAATAGTAATTCTTGTTTTACATCACTGTGTAATGTAATGGTTGTGTAATTAATTTTTACTATGGCGATGGATAGTTAATTTTTGGGATGTTCCTACGGGAATAAGTAATGGTACTTGTATTTTTTTTTTAAATTTTTTTTTTGTTTTGTGTGCGTTGATAAAATGTGTGTGAATAGGAGTATTGAATATTCACGTGAATTTTAGAGAAGAGCGAATGATTTTTGGGTATGAATTTTCATAACAAGTATTATACCAAATATATTGCAAAAACCGTAAACAAATAAAATCATGGAATGGATGGTGTTAAGGGTAAACATGTATATTTGTTATATAAGATGTGATAGAAGAAATATTTTTTTGTGAAACCCACCATAATACATATTGGTCAAACAAACAAAATAACGTCTTAGCACATCCAACCTTAGTCACATAATTTGGCTAAACCACCCGCGCTTTGGCGTTCTGTGAGTGAATTTGCACTTTGAGACTATATTCTTTATAAATTCATGCTCTTATTTTGCCAAATTCACGAATTTAATTTCTCAATTCACAAACTCATCCCACTTGTGTCTATAATTAGTCATTATTATTCAAATTCTTATTGGCAGGTGCAAGTCCGTGCGTATAGATATGTATTAAACTATAATAATATTTATAATTTATGAATGCCATTTTGGGACCTTATAACTAACACATATTTAAAAATTAAATAGTTTATCACATAGTTGTATGTGGAGATTAATATTTAAAATTATATTTTATAATTTTTGTGAGTAAATACGTGTTTGTATGTATAATTTAACGCTCTCAAAACACTCTCATTCTACATGACTTAGTGTCCAATTTCAAACATGACTAAATATTAGTATACTTGGATTAGCGAAAAGTCTATGTTATTGAAATTTCTTTTTGGTACCGTACCGATAAAAAAGTTATATATTTAAAAAGAATAGTTATAATAGGTACTCATAATCGATCATGAACTTTCCTTGAGCAGTTTTAATTTCTCCCTTGTGAGTTGTAACTTGACATTTAAAAATTATAACTTTACCTTGAAAGCTGTAACTTTTGATATCGATCTCAAACTTCTATGATCGATCATGTCATTTATAAGTTATAATTTACACTTCAAAAAAATTATAACTTAATCATAAAGTTTATACTTAGAGACTTGACACTAAATTATCAACAATTCCAGACATGACTACAAATTAGTATACTTTCTGTACGACCAAAACTCAATCTATACTCCAACAACTCTCTCTCTCTCCCTCTCTCTCTCTCTCTCTCTCTCTCTTGGTAAGTGCCAACTACTCTCCCTTTATATATGTTTACGTATCAGTCTAGAAAACCCACTCCGATAATCATCCTTGTTTTTTATTTATTTGTCATTTTTTAAGAGTCGTAGGTACAATCAGATAATAAAAAAAATCTTAACTTACGAGGAGGGCAACTAAACCACTTACTTGAGAGATTGTCTGACGATGATTCAGCCATTATGATCATATTTAATACTCGTAGGTCTTTCTCTCTCTTTTTTTTTAATTAAATGGTTAGAGTTGTTCATACTAACTTTTGTGTATTTAGTTGATTTCCTCCTTGGTCCTAAGATAAGTTATCCACACCAGCATTAAAGTATTCATAAGATATAAATCCTTTGTAACCTAGCTAACAAATGCGATTTTTACCTAAATTCGATTAGTCAAATATATGCTAATATTTTTATTAAAAATTCAGTTTCGATCAGAATCCAGTCTAGATTCTAGGGGGTGTTTTCTAGTCCAGTTGGAATAATTTTGAGTTGTCAATAATTTCAAGGTGAGAATCGAGTGGAGGGAGAAAGACGTTACAAATTTCGTTAAATATATGCTAGTAATAGTCCGTGACTGACACTAAGCTACACTTTTTTTTTTATAAACACTTCTCAAAAATTCAATTATAAATTAGAAAATGTTCTACATATTATTTTGTTTGAGGTAATTATGTAAGATGAAATAAGTAAAAATTAAAATGCAGTGTATCGCATGGAATCGTGGATAGCCGCTCATGTTAAACTAATCCAAACTTCTCACCAGCTGCGCCACATTTTGCCAACATATATAAAATATGTTATCCCTTTGTTTTCGTCCTGCCCTCATGATGGGCTTCTAGCTCGCGGAGCTACATACCGGAAAAAGAAAAAGATTCTCTTTGGGCTCCTTTTGGTGCTGCCACATACTTGCATTTGCTTGAATTCTAGTACGTTAGGTTGCTAGAATAAGCGGTTGGCTGCTGCGCCTCCTCGGGGTCGCAGTGACCAGGTTCAAGCGATCTTACTTCAAACTATTAAGTTTATTCTATCTATACCTATTCTATTAATAATTAGAGACTAAAATGATGCGAATTGAAATTTTAGGAATTAAATTGACAAAATTAATATAATAAGGATCAAATTAATAAAATAAATATACATTTGAGACCAAAATTATTATTAACCCTTATTTATACATTAGGTGAGATAGGTTGGCTTGTCAATGTCCCACCTCCTTAATGAGGTGTGCCACTGACTTTAAACCAACCACTCTTGTTTGAATAAAACTGGTCTGAGTTGGGGAACCAAGATACAGCTAAAATTAAACTTGAGATGACGGATTTTGACGAACCAAGATACCACTAGGCTTCTTGTGCTTTTGAAGTTGGGAGTGGGTCAATTTGTTCTTAACCTAATATTTCGAGCAGCTGGGACATTATACTACAGATGTTATATAAGTCATGCCTATGACATCATTTTGAATTGTATATATTCGGTTCATGTTATTTCACTTCATATACTCCTCTTACTAATATACTTTCCCCGTCTCCTTTGGAATATGCTAGATTTATGCTTTGGTTTTCTTGTTCAAATAGTTGACTTCATAGAAAGAGTACTTCAGGTCATTTGGAAATAAATTGGTTGTGCCATTTAGATAATAATAATAGTACATCTAGCAACAATTTCTAGAAATGATGTAACATGAAACCCATGCTTATTGACAAGATAGAGTTAACTAGAATCGGTGGCATTGATGTGGAAGTAATTGTGAATGAGTAAGTAGGCCACGATGAAAAAGTAAAGGTAGAATACAAAAAGAAAAAGCCGGCTTGAATGACATTCAAAGGGAATTAAGATGAATCATAAGTTATTTTGTGATTAATCTAATTTGAAAGTTGAAAGTTTAACCACTAGCAATTTTACATCCAAAAGATGGTAATTTCATCCCAAATTAATATTAAATTTCATTAATTTAATATTTATTTTGAACCATTTATCTAATTTATATTTAAATTAATCAATTTAAAATTTATTTTATAAAATTGACAATAAATTAACCTTCAGTTTTATTTAATTAATATTTAATTCATTAAATTAACATCAAATTAACCTTTAATTTAACCAAAATAACATTCAATTTTACTAATTTAAAATTTAATTTCAACAATTTATTGTCAATTTGATAATGAATTGACCTTTAATTTTCACCAAATTAATCTTTCATCAATTTAACCTTTAACATTAATTGAACCTTTAATTTTTTTTGGTAATATTTAAT